AGAGATACCCTTTTAGGCTCAGGTCATAAATATCTCAGATACATACATAAACAACCCTCTTCTCTAGGTCTATTATATATCTATATACATATGCTATAAAATTACTATAAAATCTTTAATTCTGACATTCTAAAGATATGACATGTAATTGATTTTTAGTACTCTTTTTCAAGAACCCCATATATCTGCATATATAACAAAGTCCAAAGCTCTATTCTTTCCTCTTTTTCTGACACAGTTCTCAGAAAGTAAGATTTATGACCTAAACTAAAAAAGGGTTGGTGGGACATAACCTACCCCCAACCCCACCCCACCTCACCACCCCAAATAAAATATGCCCTTTTGCAGAATGAACAATACATAAAAATCCCACCTTGAGATTTCAACATCAACACTGTTCTGTTCTCCACCTTGCATGGAACAAACACAAAAGTATTTTATTATAATCCAAAAAGAAATCATTTTTATGAAATAATACACCATACTGAGTAATAAAAATCAAGTCTTTATTATAACATAAAGAAAACTTACCAGCAAACAGTAAGAGAGATTTGATATGTACTGGAAATGAGAGACAATAAAAGGAAAGTGTTTTTTTAATATAAAGCCTTAAAAAATTATGAAAAGGACTGGTTTTTTCTATTGTTTAATATATTTTTCTCCTAGCCTTGTTGGTTTAATATTAATGGAGACTATGAAAATTTGAGGTAGTTTTATAATGATGAGAGGATGATGCAGAAATATATGAATCTTGAAAAGCCATGAAAATTTATAATTATTATTTTGCCCTCATTGGTTTACATATATAACAAAGAAATAAAGGGGTATTTAAGGGATTTTACTTTCAAAAATCCTAAACATCATAGAATTGCAGTTATGGTTCTTGTATATGCCCCGTTTGGAGCGGCACGTTTTTTTATTATCTCTCTACGTGCATAGCCACATATTTACATCAAAAACATAATTTTTTTAAGGCACATATTAGATCACGGATTTAATTCATATAATATTTTTTTGGTACATTAATTCATATAAACTGACTTTTCCCCCCTATATATAGTACCTGATAAAAAAATATCAAATAGTTTTCTTTTTCATCTCCTTAAATTTTAGTGGACATAGTTATGCGGTCGGTGATGAAGTTTAGAGGCAACAAGTATTCGGTGAAATAGACGAGATGCACCTAAACCGGCTCGAACATCACCATCTTCAAAATATATATACTACCACATAAATTTAATTAATATCAATGTAGATTATAACAAGTTATTTACTGCATTTTTATAAATTATTACATATGTTAATTGTTGTTACGGGTCATCTTAACGCGATGGTATAAAAATTGTTATATTGTTAGTGCCACCAAAAAAAATTAAAGCCATGATATCACGTAATGTTATTCAAGTAGTTAAAGAAAATGGTTTCTTAAAAATAATAGTAATAAAATTAAGAAGATAATAACCAAAGGATATAAGAGAGAGATGAGTGCCGTAATAACAGGTAATATATTAATTATATGCATTTAAACAATTGAATAAGTCTTATAACTGTGGAAAAAGGGGTTCTCTTCTTTCTCTTTTTCTGGACCTCTCACTTAATATTCTCACAAAGTTTCGAGAAAAAGAGAACCATATATTAATGAGGTATCAGTTCCTTCAAGCGTACCACGTCAATTCATATTTGAAAACCGATTAAATCGATCAAATCGTACTGTATCGAACTAATTTTTAGATTTTTTTTAAGAAATTGTAGGTTTTTATATAAATCTATAACCGCATCGATAATTAGAATTAGTTTTTTATTTTATAAAAATAAACCGAAAAATACCGAACCGTACCAAATAAATTTTACATGTGAAAAATATATTTATCTAGTAAGTTTAAAAATAATAATGCATTAAATTTTTCTTTGGGCCTTGGAATTATGAAAACTATTACAAACCAACAAGTAATTAAATTTAAAATATTAATTCCTAAAACTTATTATGCTACATTTACTTAAACTAAGCTATTTCAAGTATCTTTATTATCAAGACACAAGGTATTATAGCGATAAGGAGTAGCAAACTACAATATATTTCATAGAATTTAGATTTATCTTTTTTAATATTTAATCTTCTATAGACTTTATTCTTGAGTCTCAACTTGGTTAATATCTTTCCACTCGTGTGATTTATATTTTCTTTGCCTTTGCTTGGTTTCTTTTGCGTTGTTGTAGAATAGTTGATGGATCTATACTCAAGTCATCTTTTATTTTTTTTAATTCATCACCATTTAAACGATAAAAATGTCTAGAGAGTTTTGCTAAGTCCTATAAAAGAACGTATGTTATTGCATTCTACTGGTGAATTTTACATGATATTTTAAAAAATACCAAAAATTAATCGAACCGTACCGATACCGAAGAGAAACCGACATGGATAAGACGATTTCGAAAAGTCTAATTTTGGTTATACATAATAGAATAACCGAAAAAATGGTATGGTACAAATTTTATAAAATAACCGATTGAACCGAACCATTGACACCCCTAACCGTGACAACCCAACTAATTAAAAAAAAATCTCTTAAGCTAAAGAAATATTGAAACATTTTTTCCTAGAAATATTTCACTAAAGCATACCGATTATTCTTATTTTAAAGGGATTCAACAGTTTATATTTGAGTTTCACATAGCAAGCCTAAATACTTAGGTGACATTTAGTTGGGAGCAGTGAAAAGAATAATCTACTTATTAAAATATAACATTGTTAATACAATATTTGATTATATTTTTTTGTTTCCACATAATCAATTACAATGTTCGATTCCTTATTATAATCCTTATATTATAACACTGGATTACAAATATCTGTTTTACAATCTCTACATTATTTGCTTCATAACCAAATGATCCCTTCGACCATACAAAAATGTTGTACATTCACAGTTTTAAAGCATTTTTAAGTATGATGTTTAAAATATTCATAATTTACAATATTTTTAAATATTAGTCAATTCGTTGAAACTTAAACTTCAAAAAATCGTGTCCAAAAGTTCGAAAATTATGTCCAAAAACTGGAATTTTATCTCCTGAATTTTAAATTAGCAGTTCATAAATTTAGGACATTTAGTCCTAAAGGTCCTAAATTTCAAATTAGCAGCTCAAAATTTTAGGACACTAAGTACTGAATTTCAAATTAGTAGCTCAAAAATTCAGGATACAAAAGATCAGGATATTTAGTTATGAAGTTTGGGTGAATTGACTAAATTTTTAATACATTGTAAATTATAAATATATTTTAAATACCAGGCTTAAAAGTGGTTATTGGTACAATTCACCCGAAATTAAATAGCTTAGATTAGGCTGGGCTGTGCTTTGAAGTTACTATGGTCGATAATTGGGCTAGGGACTGCCCATATTGCAATGAGACTGCAACCACATGATGCTGTAAAAATAGCACGGGCTAGCCAGTTTTCGGACTGGGAATTGAAAAATAGTCAGCGTTTGCAAAGTTATTGAAAAATATCATCTATTTTGCTGCAACACAGAAAATTCCAGCATAATATACTAGAGATTGGTGCACTTGTGTATGAACTTCCAGCATATTATGCTGGAACTCCAACACACAGAAAGTTCCAGCATAATATACTGAAGATTGGAGCACATGTGTATGAACTTCCAGCATATTATGCTGGAACTCCAACACACAGAAAGTTCCAGCATAATATACTGAAGATTGGAGCACATGTGTATGAACTTCCAGCATATTATGCTGGAACTCCAACACACAGAAAGTTCCAGCATAATATACTGAAGATTGGAGCACATGTGTATGAACTTCCAGCATATTATGCTGAAACTCTAGTATATTATGCTGGAAGTTCTCAGATAAAAAATTCGAACTCCAGTATATTATGCTAGAATAATTTTTGGATTTTGAACAGTATTTTCGTTCAGATTTATCTTTACATGAAAAGTGGCTAAAATTTCGATTACTTTTGAAATTATGGCTATTTTTCAATTACCACTTGTAAATCTTGTTATTTTTGAATTTCACCCCATGATGCTGCTGAAAGCCCAAAATTTTCAAAAAGTAGATATAGAATGATAATATACAGAAAAAATAGATAATCAAGAAATCACTATTCAAACTACAGTGTCACGAGTTCGAATCTTACAATTAAGATACTTACCTTCTATCCGACTAATTCTAAAAAAAAAAAAAAAAAAAAAAAAAAACAGAGAAAACATTAAATAGGACAGAGTTGGAAAAGAGATCCAATACAATGATATTTATCATGTTCTGCAAAATTTGAGAATATGTATAATAGGTATCAGAATTTCCAGAAATATTAAGCTCTTTCTAAATGTTAAAAGTAACATTTTTTAAATTTCAAGCTTCTGTAATTTCATGAAGAGTTCTCTCTGCCTCTTAACAACATGAATATGGAACTCTCAAGCACTCAACCACGAGAGCATTTTATTTTTAAAAGAACAATCATCTACAACCCTTCACTATTCTTGAGCCGAGGGTATATCAGAAGCAGTCTCTCTACCTTCGTAAGGTAGGATTAAGGTCTTCGTNTAAACATGGCTCGGATAACATTTGTTGAAAAAACTGAAAGCATAACCATTTTCATCCAACAACTTCAAAGCACTATGGTCTTCTCCCTTTCGGACTAGGAAGAAGAAAACACATGCCATGTATTTATTGATTTGATACATATGTCAGGTAAGAGCAACTTTCTCCCGACTAGGAGTCCACGTCTCATGAATACAATGTGTTTCAAAAATTTCCTGCTAATTTAAGCAATGTGGAGTATAGATGCATCACTTAATTAAGTGATTGATGACTAAACCTTCCAGCAGGCCAGACCTTAATTTCTACAAATAAGTTTTGTATAAAAATTGGGCATTATAACAGGGTAAAAGGCGGTCTAATGTGGTCTCTTTGACATTTGACAACATCATAACACAGTTTACCTATTTAATCAGAGGATTCAGTTTACATGCTGTGTTGGCAATGGGAATTCTCTCCACAATGTGTGTGTTCATGATACTCATGGTTCTCATCGCCTGTAGCAGCCATGGAACCATAGGGTTGTGGTTCTGAGCGCGGAAACAAAAGCTTCAGCCGGAAAGCATCTACACCGTTCAAATAATAACGAAAGAGTCTCTTGGCTCTAATAAATCCAAGACGGCCATACAAAGCGAGTGCTCCTTTATTTGTAACTTCTGCTTCCAATGTCACCTACAAAATTTAGGAAACAAATTAAGGGAGGAAAAAAACATTGCTAGATGCTAAGTCATGATGCTACGGTGCTTTATCATCTCATTTCTTTAAAAAAAAAAACGTAGGAAAAAGCTTAAGCGGTCAGATTTAGGTTTAACAGCAGAAATACACCGAACACTTAGTCTTCGTCGAACTGCAACTCAGTGAATACCAAGCAATTGTGCACACTATAATCATGTGCGGCAAGTCACAAAGAATGACCTACTCAACCTTGTACAATAAAAAATGGATAGTTATCATCTCTGGTACCATGGCTGCAATTACTTATGCTTCCCACAACATAATTCCTGAAGTCACTAATATGAATATTTTCAGCATGTTGTAACATACCTCTTCACATCCAGATTCCATCATCACCTTGATAGATCTTGTGACAAGTTCTGTAGCTGGAACATGAAATATTACGGCTCAGTAGTTGGTCAGATTTATATCAAAAGTTAATACGTATGTGTGAAGTCACATTGTCAATGGCCTCATAATTAGGAGATTTCTTACAGAGTAAAAGCCATAATCAAGGTCCTATGATTTCTACCAGCACTATCACCCTCAAGGGCATATCCTCACGCCAAATCATTTTGCAAAACTTAATGGAAAAGAGTACACCAGAAAGTGCTATAAAATGTCATGTATTGAATATAGTGCTAGGTGCGTACACCTTCTGTGTTTCACCTCCTTTTCAGATTGTGCATCAAGGAAAGGCAAACTAATAAACCAAGACTCAATCTTGACCTCTGTAACCTCACAGCCACATCCAATTTCACAGTAAGGCTATACTTTTCCACGCGGGTTCAATCTGTTTATGGCGGTTGAATTAGACTTGAATGCGGAAAGGGGAGTTAAAGAGGGCGCCTCAGGAGAGGAGACAGTAATGGGGATGGTGATGGAAAGCGGAACTAAAAGTTTTAAATATAGTTTTCTTTTTACTAAGAAAGAATACTCTTTCCAAAGAAAGCTAACTGAAGGATCAGAAAAATAACAGTTACTCAACTTAGGAGTAAGGAATTTCGGACCTTCTTCTAAGACACCTTTAAAACCTTATTTTCCAGTTATCCTGCTCCGTGGCCCACAGGAAATACCATTTAAGTTACGAAAAAAGGAAACACATTTAAGTTACGAAAAAAGGAAATACGTTTGCGAGAATATCCAGCTCGTTTCCCGATGCGAAAGAATACCCAAAAAAGTCCTAGACATCAACCTGTATTTTTTTAGTTTTGTACCATGGAAGAAATCTCGGACTTATTCAGCAATGCAGGATGCTTAACCAAGATTTAATCTCATTAATGTTTATCAAGCCAAGCAAATAACATCTGCTTTTTTGTGTGGATAAGGTACAAACACAATAGGCTTCTTTACATTGTATTGATATTAAAAAATCCCTCAGAGAAACACAATATTCTTATCCAGGTACATGAGGAGAGTGTCACATTGAAGGCATCATCCATATTTCTAAGAGACAGCACCAACATGATTTAATGGCCATTATCGATTTATCTAACAATAAGAGATAAGATACTGACCAATTCCTTTTCCTCTGTAAGGCTTAAGAACCACAAGCATTGCAATGTAACCTCTGAAAGTACCGCGATGCTCTCCCATCTTGCAGACCACTGTTCCTATACATTTCCCCTTATGGAAAGCCTGCAAATATCTCAATAATGAAGAAAAGAGTTATGCTCCTAGTGAAATATAAAATAACTACAAGGACAAAGGAGAATGAGGAGTACCATAAACGACAGTTGTGGCCAAAGATAGACAAAATAGCGATAAGTGAAGATGGAGTAGGGCTCGCTAAGCTCTTCATCAACAAGGTTCATGATAAGAGGTAGATGATGTTCACCCCCATAGCTAACATACTCTATTTCCGATGCCTTGATGTCTAATTGTGGTTCATTTTCGCTCATTGTCTCCATAAGTCAGTGGTAGACCTGGCGGTGATCCAAAATAAAGACCTTGTGTAGGGTGCCTTTGAGAGAAACATAGCAGGAGTGTCACAGGAATCCAGTGGAATTTACGTGATAGCATCAAGTTTTTCATAGGAAAGATTGGTCACTAGCCAAATCACAAATTAAACTCTTGTGCAGCATTAACAACCATTGGAATTGGAAGATTCGTATCTACAACATGACTATACTTAGTACTTTCAACAAACATCAACCTTTTCTCTTTCCAGATAAGCAAGAAAAGCAAACATCAATTTACTTGCCATCCAGTTACAAAAATTTTATAATGCAATTTTAGTTCTACCTCAAGCAACCATAATAAGGAGCTTCCTTCTCCTATTACTTACAGTTATTAAGTTTTTCATTGGCTCAATGTGACGCCCATGATGGAGGGCGGGCCGACATGGACAAGTCAAGCACGACTGGCAGGTTTCTAGGCTGGCAATCATCCGAAGAAGGGGTGCACATGTCACCTTAGGCGAATCCCACATCAGAATGGGAAGAAAGTGAAGAGATTTACAACCCTCGAAGTATACAACCCTCTTTAAATATATTTCAGACTAATCTACCCTTTTTGCTTTCTCAATGTTTACTCAATATCAACTATGCTATTCAAACACAAAAAGACAACACAAGATACAAATTAAACTACATATCAAAAATTTCCTAAGCACTGCATTCTAACACCACAAACTACATTTTTTTCTTCATCACTACTGAAAACAACAATACATTATAGCTTCACTCGTTTGAATTAAGTGCAAAAAATCTACAAATTTTCATTCTTTAAAAGAAAAACCAAAGAACAAAATGAAAACTCCAATTTGTTTTAAGAATATACTGCTCAATTCAAATGACATAAACAAGAAACACTGTTCCAAGAACCCAAACATGGTTTATTTTTAATAGGAAAGTATACATAATTATGCAAGAAAAGAAAAGGGGATTAAAAAAGCGCTTACCTTACTTCAACGGTGAATAGCTATACTCACAAGCTCATTGGAAACTGATGGGAGAGACAATAGAAGAAGCAAAGAGCTCTGCAAATTTTTGGATTTGTTTTCTTTTGTTTCAATTCTTGATTGCATTTGGGGGTAAAAGCCTTTATAATTGGGCTTCGTTTTTCCTGTCCCTTTTGAGGCACATTTTAACTCGAGATACTCATTTTCTTCGGAGGATTTGCACAAATGGCCCTTTGAGTCTAATAGCATATTTGGCCAAGCTTCTCAAAAGTATTTTTGGCGAGAATTAGTTTGTGTTTGACTAATTAATTTAAAAAATACTTTTGAGCAGTAATTAGTGTTTGACGATGTTTTTGAAAACTGCTTCTAAGTGTATTTTATTCAAAAATAAATTTGGAGAGAAGCTACATTTTTTTGTTTCTCAAAAATCGCTTCTGCTTCTCCTCAAAAAGCACTTTTTTTCCTTCTAAAAGATCGTCAAAACATCTCAATTTTTGGCCAAAAATACTTTTGACAAAAAAACACTTTTGGCCCAAAAATAAACTTGGCCAAACAGTCTATAAACCTGTCTGAAAAAATAAGGGCAAGTTACATATTTGACCGATTCCCAAAAATAAGTACATTCACTAGTCAAACAAATAAAAAATATGCTATATATATATATATGTGTGTGTGTGTGTGTGTTTGTATGTTTGGAGCGGCTGTACTGTATTTCTCCCGAAAATATAATATACTTCAATTAATTTTAGGCAACATTTAGTTAACTGGATTATTGGAGATAGAATTTAGAGTGATCTTGAGAAAAGGTCACACGGTGCATAATCCCTTTTTTTTTTCTACAAAAAGCATGGCCGTAATATTAACAACTAGAAGCCCTTTTGGGTTAGCTGTCACGACCCGAAATTCCCACCTTCGAATCGTGATGGCGCCTAACATTTCACTTGCTAGGCAAGCCAACGTTAGAATAATATTATCTATTTTTAAAAATAATTTTTAAATTTATTAATAATCAAAAAATAAATACGGAAGTAAAGTCTGAAATATAGTGAATAATCCATAAAAATAACGGTGTCTAAATACCATCCCATAATTGGTATCACAAGTGCACGAACTTCTAGAATAATACAAATAAAGGTCTAAATAAAAATAAGTTGTCTGAAAATAAACACACAACTAAAATAAAATAGACGGGGACTTCAGAACTGCGGACGTCATGCAGTTATACCTCAAGTCTCCTTCGAGTAGCTGAAATTCGAGCAAGTCTATGGCACGCCACTGGGACCAACTCTGAAATCTGCACAAAAAGTGCAGAGTGTAGTATCAGTACAACCGACCCCATGTACTTGTAAGTGTTGAGCCTAATCTCGACGAATTGGTGACGAGGCTAAGGCGAGTCACTTACATTACCTGCACGCAATATTAGTAATAACAACAATAATAGAAATAAATTAGGTAACTCATTTATAATAATTAAAGCCAACTCAACAGTCATAACCATTTATCATTTCCATCAATTCTGTTATAGCGTACAATTCGCTCTCACAATATATTCACATTCAATTCTGTTGCAGCGTGCAACCCGCTCTCACAATATATTCACATTCAGTTCTGTTGCGGCGTGTAATCCGCTCCTCCAATATATTCATTTTAATCAAGTTTGTTGCGACGTGCAACCCGATCCCCCAATATATATATGTCGACTTTTAAATAAGTCTGTTGCGGCGTGCAACCCGATCCCCCAATATAGACTTTTAATAAGTTTGTTGCGGCGTGCAACCCGATCCTCCAATATGGACTTTTAATAAGTCTGTTGCAGCGTGCAACTCGATCCTCCAATATATTCATTATAATTAATTCTGTTGCGGCGTGCAACCCGCTCCTCCAACATATTCATTTACCAATTCTTATAGAAGAAATTTCCCCAATAAATGCAACAATTAATATAAAATTATAAGACAACAAGCATACAATAATTATAATTTAATTATGAAACAAACAATGACAAATAGCAGATTATTATGGAAATCAGGGAGAAAATAGGCAGTTTAATATTTAATATGCTAAATGTCAAATAACAATTAAGACACATAATTCAAATAGCATGTAACAATTAATGCAGGAATTCAAGAATTAATATTTGACAAAGAATAGGAGAGAAACAATTATTATAATAATTAATTCATGATTTAAAATAATTTATGATTTTTCAAGTAAGCAGGCAAACAATTAATTTGACGACGTATAGACACTCGTCACCTCGCCTATACGTCGTTCACATGCAATTCACATAACAAATAATTTGAAGGTTCTATTCCCTCAAGTCAAGGTTAACCACAACACTTACCTCGCTTTGCAAATTCCAATCAATTACTCAACCACAACTTTTTCTTTTAAATTTATCTCTGAAAGCTTCAAATCTATTTACAAACAATTCAATATACTCAATACGAATCATAGGAATTAATTCCATATGAATTTACTAATTTTTCGGATAAAAATCTGAAATTTATTAAAAATTCGACAGTGGGACTCACGTCTCAAATTCCGAAAAAACTCACGAAATCCGAACACCCGTTCCACTACGAGTTCAACCATACAAAAATTATCCAATTCCGATGTTAAATGGACCTTCAAATCTAAATTTTTTATTTTTGGAAGATTTTAGAAAAATCTAATTTTTCTTCCATAAATTCACGGATTCATGATATAAACGAGTATGGAATCATGAAATATAATCAATATAGGATAAGGAACACTTACCCCAATGCTTCCCGTGAAAATTGCCCAAAAGTTCGCCTTAACCGAGCTCAAAACGACCAAAATGTAAAAATAATATCGGACTCTTTGATATATACACTGCCCAGGCATTTCCGCACCTGCGGTGCCTGGACTCGCACATGCGATCTCGCATCTCCGAAAAAAGGGCTGCCAGGCGAGGTCTCGCACCTGCGGAAGAAAAAATGTGCACCTGCGCTGACCTCCGCTTCTGCGGGCGCGCGGGTGCATGCAGGTTTCTGCACCTGCTGACTTTTGCCCAGCCACGCCCGGGCTCATCTGCGATAGAAGGCTCTCTTCTGCGAGCTCACACCTGCAGTCAAAAATCTGCAGGTGCGATTACACTAGAAGGCCAAATTTCAGATTTTTGCTTAAGTCCAATTCTTGTTCCGATTTCGATTCGAATCACACTCGGGATACTCGGGACCCCGTCCGAATATACCAACAAGTCCCGTAACATAATACGTACTTACTCGGGTCTAAAATCACGTCAAATAACATCAAAATTGCAATTCACACCTCGATTCGAACTTTGAGTTTTAAACTTTTCAATTTGCAAATCTCGTGCCAAAACATATTAAATGAATCCGGAATGACTTCAAATTTGGTACACAAATCATAAATGACATAACATAGCTATTCAATTTTCCAGAATAGGATTTCGGCTCCGATATCAAAAAGTCAACCCCGTGGTCAAACTTGAAAGTCTTAAGCCTTTAAATTGCTAGTTCCGTTAAATGGTCATAACTTGAGCTAGAGACCTCCAAATTAAATTCCGGGCATACGCCCAAGTCCCAAATCATGATGCGGAGCTACCGGAACTGTCAAAATACTGATCCAGGTCTATTTTCTAAAACTATTGACCAAAATCAACCCAGTTGAATTTTAAAGCTTGAATTCATATTTTAATCTATTTTTCACATAAAAACTTTTCAGAAAATTATACGGACTACGCACGCAAGTCGAGGAGTGATAAATGGTGCTTTTAGAGGTCTTAGAATATAGAATTACTTATTAAATTTAAAGATGACATTTTGAGTCATCACATTCTCTACCTCTAAAACAAACGTTCGTCCTCGAACGGAGTTAGAAAAAGTACCTGAGCTGGAGAAAAGGTGTGAATATTTACTCTGAATGTCCGACTCGGACTCCCAGGTAGATGCCTCTACCGGCTGACCTCTCCATTGCACTCGAACTAAAGGATAACTCTTAGACCTCAACTGTCGTACCTGCTAGACTAGAATAGCCATCGACTCCTCCTCGTAAGTCAAATCTTTTTTCAATTGGACTGAGCTAAAATCTAACACATGGGACGGATCACCGTGATATTTCCGGAGCATAGACACATGGAACACCGGATGAACCGCTGATAAATTAGGTGGTAATGCAAGCATGTAGGCTACTTCACCCACCCTTTCAAGAATTTCAAAGGGTCTGATATACCTAGGGCTCAACTTGCCCTTCTTTCCGAACCTCATTACACCTTTCATAGGTGAAACACGAAGCAATATTCTTTCTCCAACCATGAATACAATATCACGAACTTTACGGTCGGCATAACTCTTTTGCCTAGACTGAGCTGTGCGAAGTCGATCCTGAATAATCTTAACCTTATCCAAGGCATCCTGTACCAAATCGGTACCCAACAACCGAGTCTCTCGGTTCAAACCAACCAATTGGCGATCGGCATTGCCTTCTGTATAACGCCTCATATGGAGCCATCCGAATGCTCGACTGGTAGCTATTATTATAAGAAAACTCTGAAAGTGGCAAGAAATGATCCCAAGAACCTCCAAAGTCTATAATACAAGAGCAGAGCATATCTTCCAATATTTGAATAGTGCGCTCTGACTATCCGTCTGTCTGTGGATGAAATGTTGTACTCAACTCCACCCGCGTGCCTAACTCACGTTGTACAGCCCTCCAGAAATGTGAGGTAAACTGCGTACCTCGATCTGAAATAATAGACACGGGCACACCGTGAAGGCGGACAATCTCACGAATGTAAATTTCAGCTAACCTCTCTGAAGAATATGTAACTGCCACTGGAATAAAATGTACTGACTTGGTTAACCTGTCCACAATGACCCAAACTGCGTCAAATTTTCTCTGAGTCCGTGGGAGCCCAACAACAAAATCCATAGTGATACACTCCCACTTCCACTCAGAAATTTCTAACTTCTGAAACAAACCACCAGGTCTCTGATGCTCGTACTTAACTTGCTGACAATTCAGACACCGAGCTACATATGCAACTATATCCTTTTTCATTCTCATCCACCAATAATGTTGCCGCAAATATTGATACATTTTGGCAGTACCTGGATGAATAGAATACCTGTAACTGTGTGCTTATTCA